ACCTAGCTCTGCCCATCAACCTCGCGACCTCTGCTCAATCCCCGGGTGCTTCGCATGAGCCAATCGCTCCTGAAGCCTCTGACCCAGCGGTCTGAACACGACGCTGATGAGTTACTTCTGGCACAGCTATGCCCGGGAAGGGGGAGTACCATTAATTAATTACCTGCTTCTGAAGGCTATTTCGCCTGAGGCAGATGATCCAGACACGTCCAATGTCAGAGAATGGACGTACCGCGATATCCTTCGCTTACCACCAGAGAAGCAGAAGGAATGGAGAGCTGCTTGCCACGAAGAATTGGATGCACTTCGTCGGCGCAGAGTCTTCGACTTGGTTGACCGCCCTAAAGGGCGTAAAGTCATAAAATGTCGCTGGGTATTTGACGTCAAATCAGATGGACGTCGCAAAGCGAGATTAGTCGCTAAAGGCTTCTCGCAGGTTGAAGGTATAGACTTCGACCAAATATTCTCACCAGTTGTGCGCTTTGAGACAGTGCGCCTTATGCTCGCGCTAGCAGCGCTTGAGGATTGGCACATATCTGGACTCGATGTGCGCAATGCCTATCTATACGGCAAACTGGATGAGGAAATTTATATGGAACAACCTGAAGGCTTCGCCGTAAAAGGCCAGGAGCACAAGGTTTGTAGACTGCGCCGTGCACTCTACGGACTTAAGCAAGCGGGGCTTGCCTGGTGGCGCACACTTGCTGAGTCTTTAGAGAAATTAGGCTGCAAACGTCTAACTACCGATGCTGGCATCTTCTTATTCAAATAGAAGGATGGCCGCATGGTAATTATTGTCGTCTACGTTGACGATGCCTTGTTCTTTGGCAAGGACAAGTCTCTAGTGACAGACGTTAAGTCACGATTCATGAAGAAGTGGGAATGCAGGGACCTTGGCGATGTCAAGGAATTCCTACGCATGCGCATTACAAGGCAAGGCCGAGAGATTCACCTTGATCAGATCGCCTACCTTGATAAAGTGCTGCAGCGTTGTGGCATGCAGAATGCAAAATCTGCGCCAACTCCTCTCCCTGCAGGCTATCGACCTGAGCCTCACAATGGCCCGGTCAATCCTACTCTTCGTAGCCGGTTCCAAACTGTGATCGGTTCCTTGCTCTATATTATGCTCGGAACTCGACCGGACATCAGCTATGCAGTTACCAAGTTAGCGCAATTTGCTGCTAATCCGTCTCAGGCCCATTTAGATAAAGCGCTCTATATCTGCCGCTATCTAATCGGGACTCGTAACTATACACTAGCTTTTGATGGTGCTAGTGGACTTGGTATTACTGCGTGCACTGATTCGGACTGGGCATCAGACCCCAGTACCAGGAAGTCCCAAACCGGCTACTTCCTTAAATTAGCCAATGGCATATTCAGTTGGCAGTCGAGAGCGCAGAAAACCGTTGCGCTATCCTCCACTGAAGCCGAGTACATGGCGCTCAGTGATTGTAGCCGCCAATGTGTATGGGTTAGACAACTCTTTGAAGAGTTAGGCTACCAACTCGGCCCAATTCCTATTTGTGGTGACAACCAAGGATCTATATTCCTTGCGTCTAATCCTGTCACCGAGCGAAGGTCTAAACATATTGACATTCGCTATCACTATATCAGGGAAGTCGTCGAGCAGAAGAAAGTTGAAGTATTCTACATCGATGGCGAGAATAACCCTGCAGACATGTTCACTAAGAACTTAGGACATGTCAAGTTCTTGCGCTTCAGAGCGCAACTCGGACTTAGGTTTTACAAGTAATCTAAGTCAGCCCAACGCTTGCGTGCGCGATTATCCGCGGCACTTAGCGAGGGGGAGTGTTGAACTGGGCGCTGACTTAGCTGCCAGATTCTACAACGTACCAGAACGTACCGGAACCCTCTGGAACATTCTGGTATATTCCATTATTGTACAGGGCACGGAGCTCATGTGGGTCAGTGACATCATAGGTGGAGCTCAGTAGGATTATAGATATTCCACGTAGCTTAGTCAGCCTATGGGCCACAGTGTATATAAACCCTGCAGCTCTGCTGCCTAATGACAAGGGTCGTTCATACGAGCTTTACCAGTAGCTACAGCATCCAACCAATACAGGTGAGTTGTGTAGGGCGCACTGTGCGTGCTGCTGCCTCCATAACTCCTCATCACTTTCGTCACACCAGGTTTCTCGCCCTAGCACCTAGTGTTGCTAGTCCTGCGTCGCACCGTACACCTCGTGCTTTCATTGTTCAAGTATCCTCATACTGTACAAGCTGAGGAACCAGGGGTAGTATCTAGTCCGTTAGGCTCCTCGGGCTTACTCCAAACCACATATCAGCCCCATGTCAATTGCACAGCCCTCCCTACCCCCATGGAAGTTCTGCAGGAATCATACACACTTCCGACGTTGGTACGCCCCATACAATGCATGCATCTACGAACAAGTTCTGATACGAGCGGACCGCGGTAATTATTCAAGTTCTACTGAATGTCCGTGGCGCCTTAAGACTTCCGAACTCAAACCAGTCACTCATGGTCAGCATGGCCCTATCACCGTTCTGAGGCCGTCCCTACCATATAGGTGATTTGTCGATTGTACTCGGTCGAGGCAACGTCTTCTCCCTGGACGAGCCAGCGTCAGATATAAAATGAGCCTGTTAACATGCCAATGTCAGTGTTATGTTTCTTTGGTAAGGTCATCATGGACTGGGAACAGTCATCACTACGGTGCGCTTCGCCTGACATTTGATTCAACAAGTCCCCGCGGACAGTGGTCTCTCCACGAGATGCCCAACACGATTTAAACGCGACCAAACCCCTCGTCCCACGGAGCTCCCGCGTTTCGACGGACTGGCTCGTCGCTTTGGGTTCTCAGGTGGCAGACCAAGTACCATCGTTGATCGGTCGAGTACAGTGACTCGGATGCTCCTTGTCTCCATGCGTCGTCCGTACCGCAATATCAATGTTTCACAGTACTTGAATAGGCCCGGAGGGATTTTCCCTCCGTCTTCCGAGGCTGGATTCGACAATCTTCATCCGATGTCGATACCATGTGGAGAGCGGATATCCAGTCTTTATTCAGATTCTATCTTATTCAACATGTTACAACGACCGAAGGCCCTATAGAGTTGACCATATCATTTACCCTACTTTTGCCCTCCTCCCGCAATGTGCAGCATAAGAAACAACGGATCCGGAAGACTATACACCGAAGAAGTAGGATACTCAACCAACAACGTAAGGGGGACAAAGAACGAATGGACATAGAAACGTACGCACTACTGCAATGGGCAATCAAAGGAAGACAATAAAATATAAACATAAAGAGACTTAGAACGAACAGACACAATGAAATTGAACGACAGCAAGGACACGGAGAGCGATTGTTGACTGAGTATACTAACGAGACATTATGATATCAATGAGAAGGGGATATCTGGGTGATGGTGCGGTGCGGTATTAGATTATCGTACACATATGTTGTTGTCCGTTTTACTCGAAATGCATGGATGTTTGTCGAATGTTCGAGGATGGCCAGCACGAATCCCCTTGATGAAGTCGAATGTCGGTCATCGAACCGGTCAACACACCTCCACCTCCCACTCGCCCTGCCCCCCCTCGCCGCCGCTCATGAGCGTGATCCGCACCCGCTTCTTCTTCCCCGCTGAGGCGGCACCCAGACCCATCCCCGCCGACAAGCCCAAGCCGCCCAGACCCGAGTCCCCGTCCATGAGATGCAGCGGGCTCTCCATATCCATACCCATCCCGAAACTACTTGAGCCGAGCATGTCCGAGTCAGGTGACAGGAACACATTCGAGTGCAGGTCGTTGGAGAAGGGTACGAGCGAAGAAGACGGCGCCGAAGAGAAACTCGACGAGTCCACGGATAACGTCTGGCCAGTCGAGGACGCGCCAGCCGAAGGGTTGATCCGCACCCGAATCTTCCCATCCGACGAGGGTACCGACTCGAAAGAGACATCCAGAGCACCGGCGCCATTCGGTCCCTGCACAGGGAACTCGAGCTTGCCGGGGGCCGAAAGTGAAGGACTGTCCAGATCGACGTTCATGCCAGTTGAAGGGTCCCGCCAAGAGAGCTGGTACTCGAAATCACCGGGCATGCTTCCCGAGGAACCGTAGTCACTGAATGTGAGATATTCGCCGCTGGGTGAGAAGGCGGGGAAGGGGTACGTGGTCGGGAGTGATGAATGGGATTGGTGATGGTGCGCGGGGAGACCCAGCAGCGTCGGGAGGGCGCAGAGGAGAACGACAAGTCCAATGCTCGCGCTGGTGCCGCCGCTACTCGCGGACCGATGGTGAAGAGATGGCGAGCGTGGTTCGGGTTTAATGAACGTCGATTGAGACTCCGACTTGACCGACGTCGAGAGCTTCGAGGCGAGCTCTTGTTCGCGGCGCTCCGACTCTGCCAGCTTCGCCCGCAACGTCTCAATTTCAGATAGGAGCGAGGTGGCGTCGGATGAACTGGCCGGAGGGGCAGAGCCATTCGCAATAGCAAGAAGGCGGGCGTTCTCTTGCTCGAGCTCGGCGACGCGTCTGGCGTCGAGCGTCAAGGCAAGCGGGGGAGATACGTGATGGATGGCACTCACACTTCCATGTTCTCAAACTCCTCTCTCTTCCGCTGCCTGCTCAGAAACGCCGCCGCCCTGTTCTTGACCAACCTCGCCTCGCGCTTGCTCAGGCCAGACACATCGGGTGGCACGAAATCCTTGACACTGACCCTCGAGGCGGACGCGCGTTTCTTGGGTTCGGACGAGGGCTGTTCAGAGGGCCCGCGCTTGGCCGCAGTCGGCCGCGACTGGGGTGGCGGCGAGCACGTCTCCGACTGCGCGTCGTACGGCGTCGACGGCTGGGTGTACATGTGCTGCTCGGGGGAAAAGTCGAAAACCTGGTGGGTCGCAACGCAGACCTCTGAGCCGTCAACCGAGTCCGGCGACGCGTACCGCGACTTCTTGAGAACGTTCTGCGGGGGCAGCGGTGAGTCCATCGACACTGGCGGCGACGGCGGCACCGACATCGGATACGAGTATGCGAAACTGGCGTCGAACGACGCTGCCGTCGGCGAGTAATGTTGTCCCCAGGACGACTCGGACGACACCGGAGAAAGGAGGGGCGCGTCGCTCGCAATAATCTGCGACATGGACAGGGCTGACGGGGCCATTGTAGTTAGGAAGAAAGGGAATTATATACGAGCTTGTAGTAGTTTTAGAGCAGGGCGTTTGTCGGTGGAAGCAAAAGCTCGAAGACGGGACGAGCCGGACTTATAAGAGGGGATGCGAAGAAATCTGTCTCCGCGCAGGCGTCGGCAAAATCAGACCTTACCCCTCTTGATGCATCTTTTGCTGCGAGATCCCACACGGCTATAACAGGGTGATCTGTTGCGAGGCGTGATTATCTTCACATGCACTGCCGTAGTTCTCGGCGCGTTCTTATCCTTAATTTTGCCTCTTGGACTTCACCGGATTCTCCGTATTATGACGGACCGCAGCACACAACCTTCCACCTCGTGCAGAGGAGACAGCCTACCTACTTAACGCCCTGCATTCCATGTCCGGCGCGGCCGAGGCGTTGCCAAATGCGCTACGGCCGCGCGTTTTCTGGAAGCCGGGAACTTACAGTAGCACGGAATAGAAGGGGCATCGGACGTGCGCAGACAATCCCGATGCCCTGAAGACCGAGAATTACTTCTATTTCGGGCGATAGCCGAGCCCTGAACGCCCCTAAATAATAGGCTGCATCTAGTCGCGCGGCATTTGGCGTGGTGCGCATATTCCGATCACGTGACCTCATTAGCGTTATGGAATCGTCAGATTAACCGCGTTCCCCAGCGCGTCGCAACCCTCTAGAAAGAATTAATGAGCTTCAGGTACATAGTTTGAAGTGACACCAAAGTTGTGCTCAATTAGTGTCTGTTTTGAGTGCCGTATCGACCGATAAAGCCTATTCTGTACCATGATAGGCTCTAGCGCATATTGATAATAATCCATTCCCCCCATGGGCTGGTAGAAGTAATGAGTAGCAATACATATATGTTTTTAAGCCATATTGAGGTATGCTGCCGAGCGTGGTGTCTTTAAAATGAGCTCTGAAGGGTAGAGCTTCAACATGTTCCCCTTTTGGGACGGCCAGAGCTGCTGATGTCAGCAGCATGTACCGAACGAAGTTAATGCTCCTACAGCGGAAAGAGAGCGCCAAAAAATCTGAGACTACTCAAGTTGCATCAGGACCAGCAGGTACTCCTGCCATATCATATATTTTTCCCTCGCTACATGGAGATGGCATGGGTACGAAACGGTGAGTCTGTCGAGGTGGCCGTGGGAATAGTCACGTGATATTGAATATGCGTACCCCTACTAAGGGGGCGCGATCCGCGGCAGACCGTTATATGCCGACTGCCCTCCACCTGCCTTATAAGGGAGGCATTTAATCGGTCGCCTTTGGGAGACTACCTAAATAAGCAACACGCCTATCGTTAGCAACTGAGCGAGGCAGCTCAGAACATTATGTACATCCATACCAATCTGTTTCATTTCGCGGGCGTCTTCAGGACAACATTTCCCTAGGTGAAACAGAGGCGTTGCACTGAAGGATGCCCGGGATCTCGTTATCTTATCGGTGTATTGCGTATTCCGAACTAACTTTACCTCCACTTGTGGGGTACTGCCATCAGTGGCAACCTGATGGCTGAACGAATGTGGCGGCTCGATCGCGGTCCCGGGTTTCTAGGACTGTACGATATCTTCAATCAAAACTTCAAGTGATAGATATCTACAAAACGTCAGAAGGGCGCAGACCTCTTGTATTCGGCTGCAGATAAAACCCACCAAGTATCGAAGCCGTCATACCTGCCAAACCACAGGAGCCTGAGTGAATGGAACACCTACTTTCTCCAACAGTCTCATTTGCGGAGATGGTCAGCATGCAAATCTCACTCGCTCAGAGTCGAATGCCGCCCACAAAGGCTCCGAAAAGGAGCCGGGCAACTGTACAGTCCCAGTTCAGCCTCAGTACCTCCGAAAAATATGGTGAGATGACATACTACCGTGTCTCACGGTCTTCATCCGCGGGACCGGCATATCGTGATCGCCTGATGCCGACGTACGGAGTCTCGACAGCCTTGACAGAAATAGGAAACGTCCTGACATCGATAGGACGCGCTGAAGACAACAGTCCCTGCAAGAAGAATGATATCAGTCAACTTTGTGCCGTGATGACGGCTGTTGTTGCCCAATGGATGTGTGATAAACCCTCTAGTACATGGCCAAGATGCGCCTTGTACAGGACGCACGACCCTCTTGTGCCAAAGGGCTGCGAATGACTCACCTTGAAATGAATCATACTTCGATTCCCTGGAAGCTTATCACATTCGCATATTGAACTATCCACTTACAGGAAGATTTTGACTTTCATTAGGCGACCACCATTCACACGTCGCGCATCGTCGTCGTATAGACATCAGAAGTCAGGGCTTCCGACGAATACCCGAGGTCGATGCAGGACTGCCTTTCAGCAGCCCATGTTTCACCTAAACTGCACAAACTAAGGAGCACGGATCGAGTGAGTAGGTGAAAGTCCTCGTGAACCCAAAATGGTCGGCGGGAATATCCTCGCCGTATGGATAGACCGACCGCGGGAGGAGAGCGCATATACAAGCAATTACTCGGAGAAAGAACCGACGTCACCAAAAAATAGGTACGATGTGGGTCTCAAAGCATAGACCAGACTCCAGCAATTAAACGGCAGGAGATCGCAAGGACAGGCCGCCAGTACGACGTCCAGTGCCATTGGTCGCTTCAGGAATCGCAGGAAACGCCATCGCGATGACCCATCCAAGGTACTTGGAACGGACCCTAGTGCGAAGCGAGGTATTAAGCCATGGTGAGAACAGATGCTTGAGCAAGATAGAGAAATGCATATGCCAGCGCTCCGGGCGGAATGCTATGCCGATGGTCACAGGAGAAGGCCATGCTATACGCCGAGTTCAGCCAGTCAAGAAGATCCTCAATACCGTACCAGATGAAGCTCTGATGACAATGGGTACATAAAAAAGAGAAATTAGCTGAACGATTGCGGCAGAAAGATCCTCGCCACTGGAGGCATTTCCGGGCGCACATAGATGCATGTACCGCTATCCAAGCACCTAGAAGCGGCCGCGAGTAGCAGATCCATGGACAGTGCTCCATATATGCTATGGATTTCAGCCATTTTCGAGTCGAGAGCATCATCGAAATTATGTCTTCCGTGCCAGATCACAAGATAGCCAGCGAAACACGACGCGACTTGCCCAGCGGTACGTCCGCCGTCGACGCGTCCGTCGTGGTCATCAGCCTGATCGCGCGTCCTGTAAGCCAAAAGGAAACGGGCCAGCAGTATGAAAGAGCGGAAACACCGTACAGGTCAACGAGGACGAGATGACACGTAGAAAGGTGGCGGCAGAGGGTTAACGAGCTGGCAGTCCGACGCGATAGTCCACGGCACCCTTACTAAGCGGCGCACGTGGTTGATCTACTTAAGTAAGCGCTGTGGCTGAGCGCCAGAGCGTGAAAACAACTAGCTGCGGCACCCGTAGCCACTTCGGGGAGGTGTAAATAGTATTCGGAATTTTAATTTATCTTCATCATGGAGGTCGAAGCCCTCCCGACTCTGCTGCCGCCACCCGAGAGTCAGGACGTCGGGGCGAAGTGTGTTCTCCAAATGAGGCAAATGTAGATGCATTAGCCAATAGAATGCGATTATTAAAGCTTACATAGACATATTACTAAGCAAAAGACCGAACTACTGTCAAATACCGTAGACCCGTTTCCTCGTCGAAGACATCGCTAGCTGCCTCGATATCGTCGTCCACGATCTCCATCTTCGTCTCCTCCTTATCATGGGGGTCATCGAAGGCCTCAGTATGGTTATACACAGTGCTACGGAGCTCATCCGCATTCGATTTTCTGGCCCATTTCGGCGGCAGCACGAGAGTCGACATTGATTCGAAGGACGATATTCAGCCGTGAACGCGCGATGGTCAAGTTGAAGCTTCAAGCTTTAAGACGCGTTGCTGATCTAGGGCGATCGCTTAAATGCGTGTCGGACGATGCCGGTTTTGTAGGCGTCGCCCTCCTTTGTCCCTCAATCTGGTTCCTGTTTGGACAGCGTAATTGGGCAATGAACGGTCTTTCAGGTTCGCTCGAGTTATGGTTGGAAGCTGACTTATGGTGTCCCATTAGGATACTTGACTATGCGCAACGTACGGTCTTTGTTTAATCTTTTTAACAGGTCAAGGGCGTGATGGAGGGTCTCTCCCCATCTGTCAGGCGTATAGAGGCGCACGCTGTCTATGCACGCAATGCGTAGTGGTCCTCATAAATACTATCCGGAACTAGTCCAGCCTTACTGCGAGAGAGCGCTTGCCGCTCTGCTTCAATGGCAAGGACTAGAGACTACACGACCATGTTATTTCCACAATGTAAGTAAAGACCACAGAAATTTCTTATTCAACCTATCTCCAGATTTTCCTTGTATCCGGCTCTACCACGCATGGCCGCTACCCATTGATACCCCACATTTCATAGTACGAGACGTGCTGCCTGGCGCGAATGAATACGGAATCTCTCACCAAGAATTGGGGACCGCGGACCTCGTCCTGAGTACTTTCGGTAGCCCTGGGTTCTAGTCGTCCACGACCATGTTCCAGTCTGAGTCAGACAGCCAACATAGCGTACTATCAGAGTCGTCGTCACCGCAAATTGCGTCCGAGGATGATCTGACGCTTCTCTCTGCGGCAAATGGTTCAAACCAGGGTTTTGTGTACGACAGAGTGCTCTTGGACGCGTAACCAAGGCCTGCTGCCAGAGATACCCGAGCGAGGTCCCGTCTGGCGGGGTGATAACCCTACCAAGGCGCTCATCGGACTGGGGGGGACAGAATCACACTCAGAATCGTGAACTGCTTGGCTGCAGAAATAGGCGATGCTGAAGCGCTGGAACTTGAAAGACTGATGCAATCATTGCCACACATATGAACTCTCCAGCAGCACCGTGATACGCTTCTGTCCTCCATCGCTTTCCTTGCAGTCTTCTAGATCTCGGTCGACCTCGAGCTCGTCGAAGTTCTACTTGTCTGTGGTCATATGCTTATGATGATATATGACCGAAATACGCAGACTTCTACCAAACGGAGGAACTTGGCTCGAGCGAACGGCCGACAGCCTGTGCCTCGCGGCGCTCACCTCAGATACTGGATCAAGCCTCGAAATCACTCACGTCTTGCTGTGTCTTCCTGCACCTGAATTACTCGAGCGGACAATCATCTTGTATTTTGCTTACAAGGTTCCGGGTTGCATCTTGTAATTTCCTTGAGCGGCGGCCACGGGAACACGGTACATCAAGCTCAGGTTTGTTCTGTTATGCAAATGGGAGGTAACTGATAGCGCGACACATCTCATGATACAAGAAATACATAATGAAAGAATCTCCGTCAAACGAGGCCAATTGCCCTTCCTAGGGGTCTCCAGTATCTTCAGCATCCATCCCCACCAGACGCAGAAGCAGGACCGCACCGGCCTAGACCGCCAACAGCGCTAGTTCGACGCATTCGCGTCGGTAATATAGGGTCGCTGGAACACTCGCCCAACTACCGTGTTCGTAGGTGGACTGAATACACGGTCCGTGAATGTGCGCGTTGCTGGCGGTTCGTCACTCTCACCGCTAGGCAGTTCCCTGCTGTCGGCTGCTTCGTGGAACGCTGCGAGCGGAGGATAGTTCCGAACTCGACGAGATTCGTCGAGCTCCTCCTTTCGCTCTCCTGAATCTTCGACATTATCGTTGGCGGTGAGCAACGCCTCGTTTTCGTTCCCTGGTATTGTGGACTGCCCAGACCGCGCCTCAACAAATGCGTCTTGGTTGGTAAATTTGTGGTCTGATTCAGTCATCTATTTACCAATCTTCAGGTGAACCTCCCGTAATCTCATTATGCGATTGTATGAGATGACACACCTCATCCTCGTCTGATTCGGAGTCATCAAAGTCAAGGTCACTGTCGTCCCAGAGTTCGTCCAGGACCTCGTCCCATTCCTCCCACTCCTCATCAGAATCGTGTGGCTCATCATCTGCGGTCACAAAGGCCAGCGCAATGAGTAACCTTCTCAGATTCCTCTTCTCTTCGGGTGTCATCCGAGACTCGCAGTGAAGTTTGGCGGCCATTGGAAGTGAGACAGAGCAGAGATGACCTGGAACGTTGCAATATCGGGTGTTGTGGTCAGAGTTGAGTGTGAGTGGCGTGGCGCTTTTATCCACCACTTGTTTGCTCGCGGATGTTGCCGGTGGCTCGCTTGGGGCTGCTGGCCCATTGTAGAAGACTGACAAATATATTGCTTGAGCGGTCCATGGGAGTGCGCCGTTTCAACATTGCGGATGATCCAATATCGGGAAGTCCTCGACTCTCTTTAAGCCAACCTCGTCTTTGCTAATCATACAAGCCGAACATACAGTCACCTTGCCGGATTGCCAGCCATAAGTATTCCCGGAGCCTCGATCTCTCTCGCAATCAGACTACGGTTTCCTGCGGACGCACTATCAACTTCTGACCACTGACTCGGCCTTCTTCCATCTTGCCACTATGCCGTTCAAGCCGCCCGGAATCACCTTCACCGGGTTCGGCTGCGACAGCGCGTTCGCGTACAAGTCAGCATACCACGCAGAGCAAGGTCACTCGGACGCTTACCTTGATATCCCCCTTGACGAGCAGATCGGGCAGCGCGGCGAACAAGCTCGCCACTGCCTTCTCATTACCCGCACGTGGATGAAGCCCATAATGTAGAAGGCCCTCTTATGGGACTCCCGATCGGCGCGGATCGTCGGGGGAAGGGTGAGGACGAGAGTCCCTCCCGGCGCCAGCAGGTCGTACGCCGTTTGCTGCGAGTCGTTCACGCTCACTGCATCGAAAATGATCTCCAGCTGTGCGATCATTACCGCCGACACGGCCGAACGGAGGGCCTCCGCTTGGAGGCTCCTGTCGATCACATGCGTTGCGCCGAGGGACTTGAGGAGGGACTCGTTGTGCGGCGACGCCGTGACTATGATGGGGGAGAAGCCTGAGAGCGTCGCAAATTGGATGACTATAGATATGGCGTGAGATAGATATATTCTGAATTTTGGATTAGTAGCGTAACTCACCAAGCTGCCCCACGGAGGAAGACCCTCCAGAGATGAAAATAGGTTTTCCAGAGTACTTACCACGTCCGCCCGCCTCCCAAGGAGGGGTCAGGCCGGCGCTTCCAGGGCCTGCTTCATTCACCTCACCGTAGAGTCCGAAGGCGGCAGCTATGGTAGCGCTGGGCAGAGACGCCGCTTCATCAAGCGACAGCTGAGAAGGGACCTGACAGCAAGGCGACTCAGCAATCATTCCAACCCACAGGGAATCTCCATGTATAGGGTGTACCTTGGCGCTGAAGTCTGCTACTGTGAGCGCATATTGCTGATATCCGGCGCTGTCTTGGGTGTAACTTCCTTGAGACATCCTATGAGGTAATAGCATTTCAAGAGAGAATCTAGAAATAAAGGGACAAACATCCTACACTCTATCTCCTTTGGCGAAACGGGCAACCCTCTCGCCGATGTCTACCACCGTGCCTGCGAGATCTGCTCCGAGAACAGCAGGATAGTTCTCCACAAAACCCGGGAGCCCTTGCTAGATCTTCCATTCCAGTGGATTGAGGGCGGCAGCCTCGATCTTGACGAGCAGATCCCCTGGGCCCGGGGACGGTATTGGTTTATCTGCCAATACCAGCGGGCCGCGAGGCTCTTGGAGGAAAAGTGCTTTCTGTGAGGACATGTCTGTGGTTAGATGGTGGAGGTCGTTCATGGAAGTAGGCAAGTCTTTAGAGTCCGCTGGTCCACCTACTAGGAGAGCACTATACGCATCTCCGCTACGGTCGGCGTGAGCGTCTCCGCAGCTATACGCACCTTCACCAAAATCAGTGTACACGTCCTCGTAGAAGTCAGCAGGATCCGTCTCCGCGCAGGTCAGTGTACAGTGTCAGTCGCTGCAGTCGTCAGCATCCTCCGCAGGGATTAGCACCCGTAACGGTTGACGTGCCTGCACTGGATTAGACATTATTGAACAGCCCGGTCGCGCAAGTAGTCTGGGTCTCGGGTTTCAACGTACACTCCTCCCTCGATGCCGCCTTTTCAACGAGCTAACGTGTCCTTTGATTAGCTAGTACGAAAGCACCTCACCTTACTCAGGAGAGTGATGAGGGCGAAGGTATGCCGATATATCGCTCTTTATGCGACCATGACGTCGGCGTATGGCTGGACGCAGTATGTGACTGGCTCTTCTGGTCTGATGCAGTTGTTTTTGCTGGTCGTCCGACGTCGATGCCCTTTGACTGCCGCGTCCGTTACTACTCCCTGTAACTGATTCCTGATATTACCGCCTCCCTGAATTGATGGCAGCTATATCTCGTCGAGAAAGTGCAGCTTGACACAGATGCGCAGTGTTCATTACAGTAGGTACCTGTACGAAGGGAAGGCTCACATTTCCTTTGCATTACAGGGTTTTACCAGGCGGTCCGACGCGACGGTCCCATGGGACCTGAATTGTCCACGGTCACCTCGTTCGGACTGACGCCGTTATTTGCGGCCATTTGTCTCTGTGGCTGATGCCCTCAGATGCGAGGTATCCGTTCGCAAACCTGCGCCAAACGCTATTTATTCCTAATATTCCTCTCTTCTGTATTGTATATTAATGCCATTCAAGCGACCAGCACCGCCTACGCACGAGTCCTCTTCGAATACCGTTCTTCCAACATCCAAACGATTCGAAACTGCGCGCGGCCAAGAGTCTGATGCTTTGAAGGACATCAAGATCCATATAGTGGACGCGAAGCTCGACGGAAGCACTGTTGGGGAGCTATATCGACTCGTAGAGAGTGCTGGAGGGGAGCTATGCACCGATGTTGGGGGATCGGAGGTTGTTGTAACGTGTATCGGGATGAAGAAGCGGCTGCAGAGACACCTGGACTGGGAAGTTGCTGTACGTCCCCGTATTCGTATGATATTCGAGGAATTCACGCTGAATATTGCAATCTGCGCAAAGAAAGAAAAGGCTATAGTGACGCCCGAGTGGGTACGGGACTCTGTCAGCCGAGGGGAAGCCCAGCCATGCGGGGACTACGCCGCTTTGGAGGACTTGCACGACGAGACGGTGAAGAACTGCCCCGACGGGGATCGCGAAAGCAGCACTGAGCCTGAAGACAACGAGGCTGATTCTTCAAGACAGTCAGAGCCGTCGCAGACTCAGCTTCCATCCCCGCCGTCTTCGCCATCATCAGACGCCGGTGGTACTGCGAAGCGCCTCTCGAAGGTGTCCTTGAAGGAGAAATCTGCGTCGCACCATCCCAAGAAGCCTGTGTCATCGGCTGGCACTCAGTCTACTGCTTCGCGCGCCTCGACCGTGAATGTGCCGGCTTACCTCCTTCCTCCTGACCCCCCGATACCGACGAACCTGGCGAAGCTAAGTTACAAGTCGAGGTATGCGTGCTGCAGACCGTCGCCGCTGGTGTGTCCCAACCAAGGACTCTGTAACGTGAGCGACTATGTGGACCCTGTGGTGGTGGTGACTTGATGACCCGCATGCGCAGGAGCTCAATATCATTAGGAAGAGCCGGGAGGTCGAGGGTGAGGATCGGAGCGCTCTTAGCTACGAACGGGCCATATCTGTGAGTCTTTGACGTTGCCTACACGTGCCGGAGCTTACTCAACGTGGTCCTGTCTGTTTCAATAGATCATCAAGGGTGGGTTGACTAAATGAACCCCTGTACATGGTTACAGGACCTGATAGCGCTGTGTGCCCCCTTAGCATACCCGAACCGGATCACTTCCCTTGCACAAGTTAAAGACCTACCTTATATTGGCGAGAAGATAACAGGACTCGTGAGTTTTCGCTGAAGAAGGAGGCACGTCAGTGCTGATCCAACGTTCAGGTCGAAGAATACCTGAACACGGACCAGATATCCGAGGCCCGTTCCATCCTTGAGTCCGAGCGCTACAAAAGCCTCACCGCCTTCACCTCCATCTACGGTATCGGCCCGAACACCGCGCGTAAGCTGTACGCCCGCGGGCTGCGGACCATCAGGGACTTGGAGGTGTGGTACGGCGTCCGCCCGCCGGAGGGCGAGGAGGACGACGAGGGTGTGTATGAGCAGCAGCTGGAGCGCCGCATTATATCCGTCGAGGGACAGAGTAGGTGGAGGGGACGCGGGAGGAATGAAGGTGCGGAGGTGGAGGACGATAGCTGGATTAAGATTGCGCTTGGATTGAGGGAGGAGTTAGATATCAAGTACGTTCGTGGTAACTTATTGAACGTTCGCGCTGACCCCTGTGCGCCGTGCATCAGGATTCCGAGAGACGAGGTAGAGGAGCTTGGACGGGTTGTGGGGAGGGAGCTGGAGCAAGTGCAGCCCGGCTGCGTGTTTACGATCGTTGGCGGGTACGTGGGGTGGTCGCTTTCGTATTTAAGTAGACGGCTAATGACCAGCAGATATCGACGCGGAAAGCCAATGAGCAACGACGTGGATATCGTGTTCACGCACCCCGAGGTCGACAAGGTCAAAGGCCTCTGCGGACGGTTTGTAAACCGGTTGTATGAGCGAGGTACGTCTCAGATGTTCTCTCGTGCTCGCGTACCATGGTTGAAAGACAATATAGGATTAGTCTCCCATGTGATGCGTAGGTTCTTACGTCGTTCCGAGATCACCTTGCCCTGACATTTGCGAAGACCTGTCTGGGTTTCACGCTCACAACGCGTTGCGCACCACGCACTGGGATTCCCTGGAGAAGGCGCTGACGGTGTTCACGCTGCCAGAAGACTCGCCCTTCGCCCGGGACTTTCCGGAGGGGAAAGGAGGGGAGGTAAAGAGGCGCGGTGTGCGGAGGAGGCTGGATCTGATCTTTGCGATGCCGGAGGTATATTGGACTGCGGTGATTGGCTGGTAAGTTTGCAGGGTCTGATGCATGAAGGGATGGGCAGCTTATATCAACCAGGACGGGGTCGATAATGTTCCAGCGGGATTTGAGGCAGTGGGCGACGGATAAGAAGTGAGTGTTCCTTCGTGCGTCTGCTGCTGAGCTGACCTCGACGTTGATGCAGGGGTTACAAGTTTGATAGCTCTGGCATGTGAGCGTCCTTCCATATCATAGTTGAAGTAGTGATACTTATCCTATGGTATAGAACCCGACGCAGGGATTCGAAGCAGCTGTTCCCGAAGACGGAGAAGGATGTGTTTGATCTGTTCGAGCTCGAGTGGGTGGACCCGACTTGGAGGAATGCGGATGTGTGAATGGTCCCCTATGTGGTGGTTGTGATACTATTCTTGTATTAGAGTGTATCTGCTGGAGTATATACCACAGCTCGCTAATCCTGGATTAGCCGATCCTTATGCAAATTTGCACTGCGTTTGTGGTGCGTTGGGGCCTCCCGCTATGCAAAATTGCGTCAGCGACTAATCCAGAAAATCGCTGGTATATACTCCAGCAGATACACTCTATTGCCCCGTTGTAGCGCTAGATTCTTGTCTGTATTGTAGTCTGTACCATTATAATGTACTGTTTACGAGCGATCTTGACACCAAAGAGTGAGCCGTGAACGCTCTCTGCTCTGACCTCGCCTACTTGTCTCGTCGCGTTCGTGATGGGGGTCAGACCGGTCAAGTTCGACCCGTCAAGGTCCTCCACACTGGGCGTAGGATATATCTTCGTTAGTTTACGGGTTCCATTCAAGGGTCGCGGGCGTGGTTCCCGTGGATCTCCGGGCTACGTAGAGAATTACTGCGAAGGCTTCGCTATTGTATACCCGTAAGCCTTAAGCTTCCTCCCTGCACTCCAGTTGAGGGTTGGTAGGCTTTATGAGGTGGAATCTCCAGAATGCACAAGATCCTGCCTAAGTATACTGAGTACTGATACTGGGCCTGACTTTACTGGGCCTGGGATCGCGGACTCGGTTGTTATGAGTTGTGGCATTTCTTCGTTGCATCCAGTCCTTCCATAGATATAGAAAACTTTCCTGCAAGTTATTCTTGCTCGGTGGGTCCTTGTGAGCGCAAGCCGGCCGCATGACCGTGGACGTAAGGCCGTAAGCGGGCAAACAGCCACAATTCAAACAAGCGACGCGTATCGACAGGGAGATGGGCATCGATAATAATATCCCTCTTTCTCCTGTTCCACTCCCTGCCCTGCTCGAGATATGAGGCCTTCCTCTTTTTTCTACGTCTCTGGCCAGCATCGACACTCCGAAAGGTCGTCTAG